GTGTTGGTCAATGTAATCTATGTATGCATCTTTTGTATCGTTTGTTAATTTTGGGCAATCAGATGTCCATATTAAGGCATGTAAATGTGGTGAACCTCTCATTTGAAATTCAATACGGAGTACATAATATACTATCTTACCAATTGGGTTTGCATTTGTGAGCAAAACCTGGCTGAAAAATGTTTCAACTCGGTATTGAAAATGTTTAGCTACAATAACAGGATTTAAATTTAACATTGAGCATCGCTCATGATAGGACAGAGCGTCCACTTCTTCATCTGTCATGTTGTTGCCTTTTGTCCTTGCAATAATCTGAAATAGCTCAGGCCATCTTAAATCTGCACATCAAAGCATCATAAACCATGTTGGTATTCCCAGCTGTTTAACCATTGCTACCACCTCATACATAAATTTTTGGCAGTAAGGAGGTGAGCCAGGAATTTGTCGTAAAAACAAATATGCTTGATCTTGCAAAAGAAGATTTTGAAAAGCTTGACTGTTTGATTTTACTTGTGATGCTGTGACTGATTGGCCATGTACTTTTTTAAGAGCGATATTTATACTATCAGAGATCTTTTTCTGCTCCATGATAAACTGTGCAAAAAAACGATACTCTGGATTGGTTGCAAATTTTCCACTATGATGCAATAGCCTAGCATTGAAATATTTTATTGGAGATAATTTTATACCTCGTTCAGCAGTGTATCCAAATCTCCCCTTCGGAAAGAGAACTGGAAATGAAAGTTCCTCACAAAGTTTATCAGTCATTATTGATACAGGGTGTTTACCTTCACCAGGTGCAATGTTGAAAACTTCTCTTCCAGTTGAATTATTACTGTCAGTATTCTCCAGATTAACAGGATAATTTGGCAAAATCGACTGAAGACAAGTTTCACTTGCAGGTGAACGGTATTCATTTAATGGATCATCTTGTTCTTCAGCATCTTGATCAAGCTGCTCTCTATTTACATTAGTTTGCAAATGCTCGTCTACATTTTCTTGATCTGTAACAAAAGAGTTCAAATTAGTCAACTCTGGGCTAATGTTGCCACATTGAATTTCAATGTTTCTATATAATGGATTGTTTGCTATAAGCCAGTTTAATGCACTAATTACAAACTGAGGGCGAACTGCTTGAAAGTAAACATGACCTCTAAACTGAAGTTTCCTTTTTAATTTAAGTAAAATTATGCCAGATCTGTCAGGTGGTCTGGGAAGAACATTACATGTTTGACTACATTCAACTGGTACATTACATATTGCACCTTTAATTTTTCGTTGCTGTCCTTTCGGCATTATCACAATTTTTTCAAAGACTATTCTCTGGGCAACAAGAATTTGTTCAAGTTTCTCTAATGCAGCAAGTTCAGCAGGGGTTTCATCAACAAATAAATTGTTTACCACAGCTTGGCAAGGCTGTTGACCTTTAAGTAATTTAGCATGGCAAGTTTTGCAGATATAATGATTGCCATCGAAAGAGCATTGAAACACAAAGTAATCCTGACAAGGATATTTATGTTTTTCTACGGTAATTACAGACTTTTTATATAATGTTCGGTTACACACACAGCAGACATAACATGGGCCAGATTTAATTTGTTTCTTAAAATGTTGTTAAGCTTGGATTTCCTTTCCACTCATTTTTCCTTTTCTCTATTCAGCAAGTCTTTTTTTTGTTTTGGTTCCAATGAAGTGCGATTTTCCATGATTTTACTAGAACTTGTAGCATTCAAGTCCCTCTTCTTTGTTATATCCATTGCTTGATATCTCATTCTCTTATTCTCTAACAGTTTCTGTTTTTGATCTTCTCCCATTGTTTTCTTATAACGCAAATTTTTTTAAGCAATTCCTCTTTCTTTGATTGATCTAAAGCTTTGTATTTTTCTCTCTGATTCTCTAACAGTTTCTGTTTTTGTTCTTCTCCCATTGTCCTTTTATAGTTCAACTGTTCATTAAGCACTTTCTCTTTTTTCGCCGGATCTAAAGCTTTGTACTTCATTTGTCTTTTTTCTAGCTTTTGTTTCTGTAAAGCTGGTTCAATGATCTCATTAAAGACATTAATATAATTTTGTCTGTGTTTTTTCATAATCTTTTTTCTTTCACAGTTACTCAATTTAGAAGAACAAGACAGAAATTGAATTTCATAATTTACAATTTCGTCCTTGACTTTGGTGTTTGCTAAGTTAAAGATAGCCTCAACTAAAGTGTGTTTGTCTTCAATGTTCTTGATATAATGTGTAGTAGGTGGGCTAGGATCTTCATCATATGCTAATATTGAGTACGACTTTCTCTTCAATGTTGCATGGAAGATACAAGAAATACAATAACCCCCAAGCCAAATTAAAAAACCAGTGTTTTCATCACAATGACATATCACACTTGCAATGTTTAATTTGCTTTCTGCAATGTCATTAACTACTCCTTGGTAATTAGCTTGCAATTGTATGTGCACATCAGTTCCACAAATTTTAATTTTTTGAGGTAGATCACTTGAAGACCAAGTATTTATATCAGTATTATTATACAAATTAGTGCCAAAGTAAATAGTAGGTGGGCTAGGATCTTCATCATATGCTAATATTGAGTACGACTTTCTCTTCAATGTTGCATGGAAGATACAAGAAATACAATAACCCCCAAGCCAAATTAAAAAACCAGTGTTTTCATCACAATGACATATCACACTTGCAATGTTTAATTTGCTTTCTGCAATGTCATTAACTACTCCTTGGTAATTAGCTTGCAATTGTATGTGCACATCAGTTCCACAAATTTTAATTTTTTGAGGTAGATCACTTGAAGACCAAGTATTTATATCAGTATTATTATACAAATTAGTGCCAAAGTAAACAACTGCAGATATTGTATTTGAATCCCAGTAATTACAAGGTTTAATAACAGAATAACAAATTGAATATAATGAAATTGCACAGCATTGTCTACACAAGCAGAAAGCATCAGTAGTTTTAATTTCTTGTGAGGCATTACCTGATAGGTAAGTATTTCCAATATTGTTGTTTAAGTTTTGGTCAGTAGTGCTTTGTAGTTCTTCAATATTAACAGCTCTCAGCTCAAACTGACTATTTTCACTGTATAGGGACTGGAAATGCAAAATTACATGGTTAATAGTTGCTGCTTCTAACAACACACAAGTGCCTTGTGGATGACTTCGACCATAGATATCCTTTGAATGTGAGTCAAAAATGTTATATTTGCTATCATTGGTGGAAAATATACAAACAGCATTGCAGTCAATTATTAATATAAATGCAGAATAGTTTTCAACCAGGAGCAGGTCAAATGCTTCATGAAATGGCACACAATACTGAAATCCTTCAATAAAACTATCTCCGATTACCCTTCCACTATAGCTCTCACTGTACTCAAGATGATAATCTGTATCAAATACTGTTAATTGTGAAGGCAGTTCTGTAAATAATAAAATTGATTGTCTTGCCAAACACGACAAATTTGAATATAGTTCATTACCAATATCCATTATTTGAACCAGGTCTTGAGGTGACCCAATGTTGTGTCTCTTGTTGTATATAAGAGCACATAAGCACATTGCTAAACACTGCTGTCCTGCTGTTTCTCCAAATATAATCTGATTCCCTTGACTATATGGTGCACTGATTGTCTTGTTTGGATTGATATAGAACACAGGTCCTGGATTTGTCTCAATATCAGTAGATAATGCTGACTGACAGACATTCTTCATATGGTTGACATTTTTATATACCTGTTGTGTATGTAAATCACTAGTGAAGTCAGATAAATAAAATATATCTGCAAGAATACCTTCAGGAATGTTAAATTTTAAATGTTTTGCTAAACATTTAGTCCTATTTGTTTTCTTAGCCTTTCCGGGGCAGTGAATATCAGGGATGCACTTTATCCAAGAATTTTGACTATGTCTATGAACATTTCTTACTATATAATGAAGTTGCGAAGATCTGGGTACAGACTTTTTGATTGTGTGTTTCAGATCTTTTCTCAACAACCTACTTTTGCCAAGCTTTCGAGTTAACCATTTCACTTGAATCCTACTGGGTTCACGGTCACGGTGACACAATCGACAGCCAGTGTTGAGTTGAGTTGTGTCATTTATATGTTGTTGAGAGCAGGCTATATTGAACAATGTATGTCGTGATCGCACAGGGAGCTTCTTTACAGACATTACCTTCATGATCTTTGACTGAGGTGTTTCTTTATTGACTTTATTCATACTACTTTTAGAAATATTGTTGTAAAAACTGTAATTACCTGCAGTATTTTCATCTCTTGGCACATTACTTTGCACGTTGTTCTTATTCACAAATTTCGAAACCTTTTTTAGTGGCACCCGCACCACATCGTTTCTGCTGGCCATGTGCTCAGTACAGTTTGTTTTTTGTAATAAGTTTGTCTGTGTATCGGTTGTCATTTTGGTGGTATTTGTGTCAAATTTCTGATAGCTTTGTGTGCAACATTTTTGGCTAGATTTTTGGCAAGACTTTTGGCAAGATATTTGGCAGGAAAAATACCCAAAGGTACTTTTCGAATCGTGGATCATTGACCCTGTTCGAAATTGCTCAGTATCTTTAGTGTAGGCCTCACCATGAATATGCACAGGTTCATGCGAGGTGAGCGTATTTTCAAATAAAACATACTTTGTTCTTACCGTACACATCTTTGCGCCAAATTAACGATACTTTTTTCATTCAAGCAAAAACACCAAAACGTAAAGATAATTCACAAACTTACACAACTTGACTCTTCGGTAATACTGGTATTTAAATAAACCCGAGTATGTTTGTTTTCACTGTGCGAGATTCGCTGTTTCCATGTAGATTCTGTAAAGTTCCTCAATTTTCTTGAAAACGTAGGATAAAAATTGGCTGGAGCCGTATAGTAATATTCTGCTTAGATGACGTACATCGCTCTGTTTACATTGCGTAATTAATGACGTAATGTTCATTTTCTGGCTATAAACAATCCAAGATCCGACAAAAATGCGTGCCGAATCCACTCTCCTCTGCAGAGGCTTTGTAGTTTGTTTTCTTTCTATGAGACTGATCAGGGATGCCGGAACGATGTGAAGGCAAGGGGGGTTGGGGGGTACCCTGGATTCCAGAGCCTTCAACAGTAAATAATAAATTGAAATGTTGCGAAGGCTCTGGTTCAACGGGGAGATTCTTTGATTAAACCGTGCCAATCACAAACCAGAATTAATGGTTTTAGTACAGAATCTGTACTACAGAATCTGTACAATTCGCTATTTCGCCAAGGCAATCATTTAAATTGAAAGGGCCCCTTTGCCCTCAATGGGGCAAGAATAACCCCGCATGCTGACGTCTCTGCCTAGCCTGCTACTGCTCACAAGTCAAACTTATATAGAAAGAAAACAAACTACAATATAGAAATACTACAAAGCCTCTGCGGAGGAGAGTGTGCCGAACATAGTGCCGAAACCTAGAGAGTTCACTGTGCAAGATTCGCTGTTTCCATGTAGATTCTGTAAAGTTCCTCAATTTTCTTGAAAACGTAGGGTAATTTATAGATAATTTTAGATAATTCTGGATAAAAATTGGCTGGAGTCGTAGTAATATTCTGCTTACATGACGTACATCACTCTGTTTACATTGCTTAATTAATGACGGAATGTTCATTTTCTGGCTAACAATCCAAGATCCAACAAAAATGTGTGCCGAAACCTAGAGTCGCTGTGGGCTGTGCCCCAGCGACTAAAAAATAATAAGTTCTTTGTATGTTTGCATGGCGATAAAACATAATAGTTTTGTTTGTGGAAACACCACGTAAATTTATTATTAAAAAATAATAACAGTTATTGACTGTGTTTACAGACAGCAAAGGCAGTAATTAACACAGCCAAAGTAGTTATTTAAGTACAATTACAAGTACAGAATATCATTATGTAAACAACACTTTGATACTACCTTAAAAAGCAAAGCTATTTATTTCTGACCAATGGGAATTTTGCGTACGAATCATATGCATAAATCCACTTATTGATCTCAGTAGAGGCTGACATGCTGGCTATTTAACCTATTTTCAAGGTTGCTGCATTACTCCCCCCCCCCCCCTTTATTACTCTACTCTGTCTGTAACACTAGACGATTTTACTTGAGGACGCCATATTCAATATATTATTTTCACCATTGTCTTTAATATACGCCTTGCAAATTTACCTATAGGGAATTCCATTGTGTTTTCACCCTTGCCCTATTAAGTATTGTTTCATTATGGCATCTTGACCTTGAAAGAGCCTATTACTGTGGCCCCAACATTTCCCCGTTAAAAACACAATACATCATGAAATGACTGAAATGTTACAGGTTTACAAGCCTGACACCTAGCGGCGAAGTTCAAATTCCACACAAGTAGTGATGAATGATGATCACTGTTGTTGTTTTTCTGTCTTGTTAGGCTACCTCCTGTTCTTTTGACCGCCTAACCGTATCAGGATTACTTGCATCAAGGGCCGTAGAAAAAAGCATCCAAATAAACAGCAGTTTGCGAATATTATTGTTGCGATTTGAAAATTTACTGTAAAGGTTGCCGTTCCAACTTTGTAAAATTGAAAATTGTGAACTTTTGTCGTCTATTTCAAGCTTGTAGCCTTCCAAGTTTACTCACATATAACGACATTCGCTTTATAAAGTCTGGTTCATCGGAAAACTTTCAAGTTTTATCGGAAAAATGTACAAAATCGATGAAATTGATACTAAATTATCCCCGAGTAAGCGGCCATCTTGAATCCAACGACGAATAGTATTATAGTAATGACGTAATTTTTATCTTTTATTAATGACATAGCTAATGTTCATTTTGTGGCTAACGATCCAAGATCCGACACAAATGCGTGCCGAAACCTAGAGGGCTCTGCCCAGCGACTAATAGATCTATAACCAGTGTAAGTGGAGCTTGCAACCAACGTGACGTCATAAATTAGCGGACATATTCACCATAGATGCCAAGTCTCACGCATTAAGCATGTGACACACGCCTCAGCATTATTTCTCACGCTCACACGCTTCAGTTTGATTATCTCACGCATAAGCAGAAAATTAGCTGAGAAGCTAAAATGTAGAGAAATAATGGTGATTGTAAAATGTTTGAACTAATTTCTTTTGATATATTAAAGCTATCAATAAACATCAGACTGTAAAACTTGTGTTTCCTTGTGTATTTAATAATGTTATCACTGTCGGACATTGCAATCAACACACTACTTCAGGATGTAACTGGAGCGCATTTTTCAAGCTATCAATTATACGTCTTACGTTTGACGTACTTAGTAGGCGAGGCTATTACTCAGCCCTGCTAAATTATTTATAAAGCAGTTATTATAATAACCGATGTAAAATCTAAAGACGCAATATGTTTATATTGAGATATATGCGCATAAGTATACAACTATAAACTTAAATGTAAACTCCAATTATTGACTTTTAACTACAATACAATATTCCTAAATATATATAAATGATCTTTTAAAATTTTACTCTTGGAATTGTAGTTTTTGTTTTGACTAATATTGCATTTGCACATGTTTTCACATGCATTATTACTAATACTTGTTAAACATTGTGCCTTATTCATAACACAAAATGTACCTCTGAAATATTGTTTTTGAGAACCAAAAATAACACCCAAATATGTTCTCAGAACGCTGGAAATGGCGTTTCCGAGACCCAAATTTCAAAATTTTTCGGGGGGGATGCCCCCGGACCCCCCTACGGTAGCTGCGGCGTGTTCATCTCACACATGGACAAAACACAACCTTGGCATCTATGTATTCACATCATTTACATACCAAATTGAAATATCTAAGGAACAAACCATGAAACTGAAAAATGAGTCACACTACAGCTTAATTTAAAGAGTTCTTTCATTTACACTGTAAGAAAATAAAAAAATTCATGTCATATGCACTTTAAGATTTTTAAGTAAACAATAATAATTTGCTTATCATGGTGCAAGCTAATCAAATATGACATGCATGCATTAGCATTTTAACATTCAGGCCGTCTCTACGTCCATGCATGTATAGAGCTATGATAAAATTATAACTTCTTATATTGAAAACATGCAAGATCTGGAAATTTATTCCTAGATTATTGTAACGGATTCCTTTTATACATGTATAAGGTATTTAGCTGTTAGTAAACATTGTCATTGACCTATACATAAGTTTCTAAATAACTTAGGTTATGTGTTAACGAATAAATACTTTAATTTCCAGTTACTAGCGGAAATTGGGAATTCCAAATTGTTTTACGTCTATTTTTAATGGTTATATATATGGTCGTCGATCTTCATTAAAGAATGGTTTGTTCACAAACAAACATCAACTAGAGCTGGAACAATCTTAAGCAATTAAGCAAAGTTACTGTATAGATAACTTTCGTTTTACCAAAGGCAAAGCTGTGGAAAATTAAACCTTTGAGAGAGGAGTTTGTCCACCTGACTAGCAAAACGAAACATTATTTTGCATGCATGGTCACAAAACAAACTAGACTGAATCCATTCTATACAATATACTATCATACATCATTCCATGTTAAACCTGTTCAGCAAAATTTAAAACCGAAGTGTAAATTCTAAAAACTGTAGTTTGTTCAGGGATTTCCAGAAAATTTTAGGAGTTCCCTCAAGGAAAGAAGCCAACTGCCCGACTATATATCGCAGCTGACCAGTTAGTTCAAGACACCAGACGACTATTACCGCTATATATGACATATATAATCAACCATTTGCAAACTGAAGAAGATTATTGTAAAATTCTATAAACGCTTCTCTCCAGTGGGTCGGTTTCTGTAATCCAGCAGTAGTTACTATATTGTCAATGGGCCACCGTATTTAAACGATTTAAAAGCGTTCTTTTGGAAATTTTTATCCCATGATTTCTTTCGAGAAAACTCAAAATTGTATTGTAGTCGGAATTTAACGAGAAATAATGTCGAATTATAGTTTCTTCTTGCTCAGCATCCGCCATTTTTAAATAATTTGGTGCGATTTTTGTGTTAATCTGTGTTAATACTGGTCAGCGGTTCAATTAATAAATTAACATATTAGTGTATTGTGTTTTGGTTTAGTGTATTGTGTTTTGGTTTAATGTATTGTGTTTCGGTAGTGTGTATTGTGTTTTGGTAGTGTGTATTGTGTTTTGGTAGTGTGTATTGTGTTTTGGTCTAGTGTAGTGTGTATTGTGTTTTGGTTTAGTGTATTGTGTTTTGGTTTAGTGTATTGTGTTTTGGTTTAGTGTATTGTGTTTTGGTAGTGTGTATTGTGTTTTGGTAGTGTGTATTGTGTTTTGGTTTAGTGTATTGTGTTTTGGTAGTGTGTATTGTGTTTTGGTAGTGTGTATTGTGTTTTGGTAGTGTGTTTTGGTTTAGTGTATTGTGTTTTGGTAGTGTGTATTGTGTTTTGGTAGTGTGTATTGTGTTTTGCACTTATGGGCCACCGTAAATTGGTTTAGTAAAGCAATGTCAAGCCAACTTAAATAGCTGAGATTTAGTCAAACACTCATGAAATCTCAGCAACTTATACAACACGTACTGCATAGACAAGTATTTTGGTCGCTACTGTATATCTTTGATCAACAGTACTTCCAGTGAAACCAAATTTATATTTAGATGACATGTTAAAATTAGTTAAGAGTACACA